ATTTTGGGTTGTCACAAAGCCAATTATTAATAAGGTTCAAACCCGGGAGCTTGGCATCTGGAGAGGGTTCGGTCGCGACGACGTGGTCAGAATGTGGCGACTCGGCAGCGATGGCATGTGCGTCTTCGTCTCTGGAGTCATCCTCCTCCCAGGATGAGATCTTGGTCACTATGGCTCGTGGCTCGTGGGGACTGCGGAGGGAGGAGGTCCCCGTATAAATCCGAGCTCGCATAGCGCCTCCTTGGTTGTCAAGGCTTTGGTGCTAATCATTGAACTGTGCACCTGAGCCCGCAAATAAGTGAGAGTCGGCCGCGAGCTCTTTTTTTTTTTTTTTTTTTTGTTTCTAGGGACTTTATGCTTGCGAAAACACCCACCCCAAAACAATTTGGAAAGAAGGGAAGGGTCGGAGGAGATAAAGAAAAACTTGGGCTTCAATACTTATTGAAAGTACTTATATCATCAAGGATTTTCATCCCAGCTCGAGCTGAGATGGAGACAAATCCCTTACTCTTGATAGCCGAAGAACTACCCTCATTAAACAAGAAGTTGAAGAGGTCTAAGGAAGGGGCTATTCCTACCTCCCTACACCTAAAGATGAAAGAAATAAGTATTCGGTGAAAGTTAGGAACTAGTTTACCAAGGCCAATATCGTAGTGGTTTAGCACTTCAACAACGAATGGGTGGAGAGGAAAACGGAATCCCAAAGAAAGAAAGAGGAGGTGGACCCCAAAGAAGTTTGGACTAGGACTCTAGGAGGCTCCAATATGTTCCGAAGAGGAGCTTGCACCTCCGCGGTCGGCCCCACAAGAGACTGCGCGAGAATGAGGTCAAATTCGTCGAGCTCGACGCTCGTGGTGCGCGGGATGGTGTGGTCGAGCTCGATGAAGCAGTGGTGGAGGGAGGAGTCGGCGACGGTTACGGGGTTGAGAACCCGGAGTTGCCGCACCTCAAGAGGAGGTTGGAGTAGGAAGGTGACCTCGAAGCGTGGTTGAGCTAATCTCACCCGAGGTCAGCGTTCGCTGCCTGGCCGAGCCCTACTCGACCATGTGTCTGGTCTTCAGCTAGTGCGGTGCATACGACGCGGGTTGTGGTCTTGGGTGGTTACAAACCTCTTGCCCTTTTCTCGCGGAGCGATTAAAGGTTGATTAGTATAAAAATATCCCACTTTGTCTTGTGAGAACATAAAATTTCAATCTTTGTAATAGCATTACACAATTCATCAATACAAATCTTGTCTTTGTAATCAACAATTCATTGTCTTTTCATACTACTACATTTGTCTTTATTTCCTATTATTTATAATTTATTATTGTGTTATTTGAGTAGGACGACCCGACTCAATATAATCGATAAATTATAATTTTTTTTTTAAATTTTCATTATTTATTTTAATAAAAAATATTTTATTTTGAAATAAATTTATTAATATATTGACTACAATTTTATTTACAAATTTAATAAAATATACTAAATATGATCTTACATTAAAACTCCATGTATATTTTGTACCACATCACTTTTGAAATAAAGAATAGTTAATTGGTTCAGGCTATCAGACTAGCCCACTAAATTTCAGACAAGACCATTAAGGCTATCAGGCTTATTGATTTCAAGTTTATTAAGCTTATTTGTTATCGTGCTAAAATATTTTGATCCTAACCCAAAAATATTTAGTTCTTATCAAGCCAGCACATCGGTTTCAAGCAAAGATTAACACACACACACACACACACACATAGGGAAGGGATCAGGTGCGGGTGGTGCTTCCCGTGCGGTTGTGTGGGCGGATTCACATTAAACATTACACTGGTGCACTTTAAGTACACAACAGACGCACATTAAACACACAAACAAAATACATCCAGAACATAAACTCACACACCTTAAGCACAAAACTCACGCATCTTAAGTACAACCCTCACGCACCTTAAGCACAAAACTCACTCACATTAAGCACAAAAACACACGCACCTTAAGTTTTAACAACAACTCACATTAAGCACAAAAACACACGCACATTAAGTTTTAACAACAACTCACATTAAGTACACACTCATGCACATTAAGTACAAAACTCACGCAACTTAACCACAAGACTCACCCACCTTAAGCACAAAACTCACCCATTAAGCACAAAACTCATGCACTTTAAAGTTTCAACAACAACTCACATTAAGTACACACTCATGCACATTAAGCACACAACTCACGCACCTTATGCACAAGACTCATGCACCTTAAGTACAAAACTCACGCACATTAAGCACTACACACTCACGCACATTAAGCACAAACCTCACACACCATAAGCATAAGACTCATGCACATTAAGTACAAAACTCACGCACATAATCACCCGCACAACCGCATGGGAAGCATTCACCTGCACTGGAACTTAAACACACACACACACACACACACACACACACACACACACACACACACACACACACACACACACATATATATATATATATATATATATATTGGTTCCTGTGAGAACAGATCTTCCCGTGTGGTCGGTGCGACATACACCATTAGGTATGCATAAATGCACCATACAGTGTTCGAGAATACAACAGAATGAAATGCCAAAAAATGAACCACAAAAAAAAAATACACCACACATAATGGTGTATTTTCGAACACTGTGTGGTGCATTTATGCATACCTAATGGTGTATGTCGCACGGGAAGACCTGTTCTCACAGGAACCTGACCCTATATATATATATATATATATATATATATATAGTTGAGTTCACATGAGGACCACAATATATAGAGGACTGTGCAGACTGATTACGGGCACACAACAAATTAGTATTATGCACACAATTTAATACACAATGGCACACAAGAATGCATGTAAATATAAGGTTTCGAACCCAGGCTCTATTAATTAACAAACCTATGCACACGACATACAAACTATGACACACGACTACATTAGGTTATGCGGACACATTCCGGACAACATTTCAGCCAGTTTCTTCTCCAGCATTCCACTGTTCCGTAGCGAATTCAAAGCGACGAGTCCTCGCAGCAACTTCTCGTTGAGGAAAATCTGCGGTATAGTTTCACTCCCCGCCCTCTATACTAATTCATTCTCTCTCTCTCAGAATACACGTCGACGTTGATTTTCGCAAAATTGAGCCTTCTCTCGCGCATGAACAACCGGACAGCAGTGCAGTCTCGGCAATTGGATCACGAGGAGAAGGCCACTCTTCCGAGGAGCCGCGTCCCTTATTCATCCTCCGGCTTCAAGTTGACGATCACTTTGAGGCCGGAGGGGTTGAATTCCGAATCGGACTTCGCCTTCTCGTCCTTAGGCGATTCCCTCAATGACGATATCCGCCTAGTGATGGCTTTCGATGAGCTGTAACTCTTCTCCCGAAAGAACTTCCCAATCGCCGGCACGTCGAAACTCTCCGGCATCGACTTAGACTGTTCCAAGTCCCTAGGCGACACCGGTGCAGCCACTCCCGCTGGCGCCTCCGGCTATGGCAGCTGCGAATGCAGTATAATCATCTTTTGCTTCTACGCCGTCGTCGAAGGATGAAAATGGTGAATGCATGGTGAACTTCCAATAATACCCCTAAAAAATTGCCGTCTAAGTCACCAGAGGACTAAAACGGTTAAAATTTTGATAGTCGAAGGATGCAATTAACAAAGTCAAAATGAGTAGGACCAAATTGGTGAAATCGACATAGTTGAGGGACCATTTTGGTAATTTTCTCTTTATCTAAATGCAATGTCATGGGTTTTTGAATGCATTAAATGCATGTTAATGATCTGTCGTTGGGGTGTTAGTGCATTAAGTTCAGTTCTTGGGTGCACAATAGTGGTTTTGCTATTATATTTAAAAATGCACATGAGTTTGGTGTGCTTGTTGTTTGATAGGGCGCACCACCAAGTATTTAGAATTGCACTAACAGGTGAATCCAAATGCACTGTCATGCGTTTTTAATGCACTAAGTGATGGTCTGCGGTGACCACCACGTAAGTATAAATGTACGATCAAGTATATGCAAGTGCACTCGTCCGCCATGTTTACCCGTTATATGCAGTTGATTTGAGCTCATCCATTGGCCAGTAGTCATCCACACGGCCGTATCTAGGAAGCCTGACACACCAAAACCAAGCTATATATATATATATATATATATATATATATATATATATATATATATATATATATATATATAGAGAGAGAGAGAGAGAGAGAGAGAGAGTCGAGTTTCGGTGCGGCGAGATCCTCCCGTGCGGTCATGTGGCGGCTTTCAGAATACACCAATAGTTAAGCAAAATATACACCATCAACGTTATGAAATGCACTACAAAAGCACACACAAATTAGGTACGCATCACCAACAACACACCATTAGGTATGACGATAAGCACCACACAGTGTTCGAAAATACACCATTAGTGGTAGGGAGGTATATGATGTATTTTTTTTGGGTGTGTTGTGTATTTTTGCATTTTATTGTTGTGTGTTTCTTTTACACTATTGGTGCATATTGTTAACACTGTTGGTGTATTCTGAAACCTGTCGCACGACCGCACGGGAGGGTCTCGCCACATTTGAACTTTTCTCTCTCTCTCTCTCTCTCTCTCTATATATATATATATATATATATATATATATATATATATGTATGTATGTATGTATGTATGTATGTATGTATGTATGTATGTATGTATGTACGTATGTATTTGTGTGTGTGTCACAAATTACATAATTTTTGTAATATTTGGTTACAAATAAATTAATATTTTAACTTGTCCAGTGGTTTTCCAAACTGGAGAATGACTTGTTACTACGGCTATCCATAACGAACACGGAGGACTGAGTCATGGGATCTATTGAAACAGTTGGCAACACAATCTGAGCTACCCTGGGTTGTGATTGGCGACTTTAATGATCTCTTGTACCAGTATGAGAAGAGGGGAGGAAATCCACACCCGAACAGTCTGTTACGTGGCTTTGGAGAGATTATGGATCAGTGTGGTTTGGCACAGTTACCAATGAGTGGTAATCAGTTCACATGGCAAACGGGCAAAGGCACTCCTGGATGGATTCAGGAAAAATTGGATAAGGTACTAGTCACTAACCGCTGGAGAGATATTGTGAATGGGGCCACAGTTGCAAATCAATGGACTAGACGGTCTGACCACTCAGCTATCTTCATGGGGATTCGACAATATGGGGGTAGGAGGGCTGGGGGCCGAAGGTTTCGTTTTGAGATGGCATGGCTCTATGATGAGGGATGTAGAGCGGTAGTGGCTGAGTCATGGGAGGAGGGAAGAGATAGGGGAGCACAAGGCTGTATTGCACATTGTGGGAACCGGTTAACCCGATGGGGGGGACCGGTACCATAAGTTCGGGGAAAAGATTGAGCAACTCCGGAGGAGGCAGGATCAACTCAAGGGATGTATTGATCATGCATCCCTGGAGGAGTATAAACGATTGGAAGCGGATCTATGCCGAGTGGAGATGCAGGAGGATGCATACTGGAAGCAGAGAGCCAAACAGCACTGGCTCAAGGATGCGGATGCCAACACGAAGTTTTATCACAGGTATGCCTCGAACCGAAGGAATAAGAATACTCTAGTTAAAATTATGAATGATAGTGGTGAATGGATGGAAGGGGATGATATGGCGGGTGTAGTTCTGGATTATTTTAAACGCATTTTTACAACTAATAATCCTGTAAGCGGTGATCTGATCTATAACAATGTTACGCCACGAGTCACTCGGGCACAGAATGAGGTATTAATGCGACCCTTTGAGGTTGGTGAGGTGAAAGATGCTCTGTTTGAAATGTATCCCGATAAGGCGCCTGGGCCGGATGGGATGAACCCGGGCTTTTATCAAAGTTTTTGGGATATTGTAGGAGGGGATATCTCGGCTTTTGTTGTAGACTGTCTGAATACAAACTCATTGCCACCAGGTTTGAATAATACCGATGTTGTATTAATTCCTAAGAAAGATGTCCCTGAACAGGTCACTGATTTGAGACCAATAGCGCTTAGTAATGTCATTTATAGAATTATGGCCAAAATGATAACCCGGAGGATGAAACCCCTAATGGATAGTATTATATCTGAATCCCAGAGTGCTTTTATACCAGGCAGGTTGATAACGGATAATATTTTGATTGCCTCAGAGGTAGGCCATTATTTGAACAGGAAACAGTGTGGTGTGGTTGGTTGGCGTGCCTTAAAATTAGATATGGCAAAAGCTTATGATCGGATGGAATGGCCATTTTTAAAAGGCATGATGATGGCACTCGGGTTTAATGACAAGTGGATTGAACTTATTATGACGTGTGTTACGACGGTGTCCTATAATTTCCTGGTAAATGGGACACGGAGTGACTCACTAATACCAACCAAGGGTTTAAGACAGGGGGATCCATTATCGCCCTACTTGTTTATAATCTGTGCTGAAGGTCTCTCTATGTTATTACAACAGGCACAAGAAAGGAGTTTAATACATGGATGCAGAGTAGCAAGGGGTGCTCCGCCTATCTCCCATCTTTTCTTTGCTGATGATAGCTTATTATTTTTTAAAGCAACTATGCAGGAGGCAAATGAAATTAAAGGATGTCTGGCTCTATATGAAAGTATGTCTGGGCAAGCTGTTAATTACCATAAATCCAGTATATGCTACAGTAAGAATACAACAGAGGAGATCAAGGAAAATGTGGCACAAGTTTTGGGTGTGGTTCAGGCTCCTAACTTTGGAAAGTACCTTGGATTGCCATCATTCATTGGAAGGAATAAGAAAGCTGCATTTGCTTATATAGAGGACAAAATCAGACAGAGAATAGGATCTTGGAACAAGAAACTATTATCGCAGGCAGGAAAAGAAATCTTATTGAAAAGTGTGGCTCAGGCTATGCCTACCTTCTCAATGAGTGTTTTCTTGTTACCTACTAATATCTGTATGGCTATTGAGCGGTTGATGAATCGATATTGGTGGGGCTCAGGGACTGACCAGAAAATCCATTGGAAAGCCTGGGATAAGTTATGTATACCCAAGAAATATGGTGGATTGGGTTTTAAAGACCTAAGAGCGTTCAATGTGGCACTGTTGGGAAAGCAAGCTTGGAGGCTATTGACCAATACAGACTCTTTGGTTTCTAAAGTTTATAAGGCCAGATATTATCCTAACCAGTCTTTTACTGATGCAATTCTAGGAAACAATCCAAGTCACTGTTGGCGGAGCATTATGACGGCGAAGAGTTTAATTTGCAGTGGGGTGAGAAGACGAATTGGGAACGGAGATTCTACCTTTGTGTGGGGACACCCGTGGTTGCAAGATAAAGATGACCCCATGATCCAGACAGAAATGCCACCTCAACTGAGTAATGCCAGAGTAATCAACTTAATTAACCAAGATACAGGCACTTGGGATTATGATTTACTTACTGATATTTTTGAGCCTGGTGATGTGAGTAGGATTCTAAAAATACCAGTATCCCCAAGCTATGATGAGATGTGGTATTGGCATGGAGACCCCAAAGGCAATTACACGGTTAAACATGGGTATAGGTGTATGGTGGGAAATTATGAAAATATTGCAAATGTGGGATTTGCAAAGTGGCTCACATTGTGGAAACAGAAAATACCACCCAAATGGAAAACCTTGCTATGGAGGGCTTTGAGTGATATTCTTCCTACTACCCAAAACTTGCTTATAAGGAGAGTGGAGATTGATCCGGTGTGTGCCATGTGTGGAGTTGTAAATGAAGATATTATGCATACATTGGTTTCGTGTGACTATACAAAGACCATTTGGGCACTATCTAACCTTCCATCTACAAATATTGTGACAAATATTTTTTATGAATGGTTTAGTGAAATGTTAAATGTTCTAGATTCTGATGGTATTGCCTACGCAGCTGCAATTATTTATCATGTATGGAGAGCTCGGAATGGTGCGGTTTGGGATGCATGTTTGCCCAGACCACGACGAGTGCTCGCCGCAGCCCAGGCCGAAGTTACGGCATGGCGTCATGCCTATGCACCAAGAACGGACCCGAGTCCCGTGATGCCAGCCACGGCAGCGCAGCCCACTGCCTGCAGAACCGAAACCGGAACACCGCAGCATGCCGAACCCAGTCACACTCCGACGCAGCCACCACCATCCAAGTGCTATGTCGATGCTGGATATCGACACACGGACAACACAGCAACGGTTGGAGTGGTAATACTGGGACCGGGTGGTCAATTTATCTCAGCATACTCCGCACCTTTGCCACATTGTTTTTCACCACTCATGGCGGAGGCTTATGCTTTTAAGGAGGCTCTTTCTTGGCTACGCGAGCGTGGAGAGCAAAATATGGAGCTTTATACAGATTGCCAGGTACTGCAGACTTACTTAACGACACCACAGCTGCTGACAAGATCGTATGTTGGCTACGCAATTGATGGATGCAGGAATCATTTATCTACTTTTAATTATTGTTATGTTAACTTCATACCTAGATCGCAGAATATTTTAGCACATAGTTTAGCTACTACAGCTTTCCAGTATGACACAGCTATGTATTGGGATACTATCCCACCGGACGCTATTTCAGCTTATCTATGAATACAACTCATTGGTTGACCTTCAAAAAAAAAAATATTTTAACTTGTATTAAAGTTAACCAATTTTACCAACTACCATGTACTGTGATAGCATCCCGGTTATCATTCTAAATGAGTGGTTATAGGTTCGAACTCTAGTGGTGGAATTTAGATTCTTTGAGCTGAAATTATTTGAGATAGTATAGAACAGATACTACTTTGTAAAAAATCATGAGTATTTCAAAAAAAAAAAAAAAAAATTAACCAATTTATATCCAATAAATATAATCCACATAATTAAGGAGAAGAGATTAGCATTATTCCACTTGCGAACGACTAATTACCTTAAATGCTCAACCTTCCACATGCCATAAAACATGCTATACAAATATCACCTATCAGAGTTCTCCCTACCTATAAAGTTAAATTCAAATAATCTATAATCTATAATATATAAATATCACCTATCATAGAGTTCTCCCTACCTATAAAGTTAAATTCAAACAATCTATAATCTATAATATATCTATAACATCAGTGTTGCCAAAGAGTATTTCCGTACATGTCCTTTTTTTGAATATTTCCATACATGTCTATATAAATACAATTCATTATATTATATAAATAAATTTATATAAATAAAAAATAGTACTATAAATTTATTATGATTAGTTTATTTTGGAATAATTAATTGTTAATCAAATATATTGCATGTTGTATTTCATTATCAAATGAACATTAATTTTATTTAATAAATGGAATATTCCAGTTTTCTTAATATTTTTGAATAGAATATATAATAAATACTCATTTATTTATTTATTTATTATAAAAAGGACTACATATAAAAATATAATTTTCTTTTCTTTTCTGATTATAAATGAAAATATTAATTAATAAAGGGTTCAAAGAAGTGTGGAAAAGGATAAATTACGAAAACCAATTCGCTAAAACTGCATAGTATAGACAAGGGATCCCTCGTGCTTATTTAATTTGTTAAAATCCCCAAAGCAAGTTTGGTTATTTAATTATTCCATATTTTTGGTATGCCATTTTATTTTATGGATAATATTATCAAGAATGAGCTATTCCCCTTATGAAGCGATAGTTATTCAGAGGGAGACGTGGTATTAAATTATTCCGAGCTCTCTTGAAGACCTTTTTTTTTTTTTTTTTTTTTTTTTTAATTATAGTAATACTTAATTTATATATATAGGGAAGGGTTTAGGTGCGGGTGATGCTTCCCGTGCGATTGGACGCACCTTAAACATTAACATGGCACTTTAAGTATACAAATTACCACACATCTTAAGCACACAAACAAAGCACATTGAGAACACAAATCACTCACATTAAGTACATAAACCACGCACCTTAATCACAGAACAAAGCACATTAAGCACAAAATCCACACACTTAAGATTTTGAAATGGCTCACATTAAGCACAAACTCACACACATTAAGCATAAAATCCATGCACATTAAGCACAAACCTCACGCACATTAAGCATTAAATTGACACACTTTAAGTATTAACTCACACACCTTAAGTTTCAACAATTACTGACATTAATCACTAACCCCACGCACCTTAAGCACAAACCCCACGCACATTAAGCACAAACCCCACGCACCTTAAGCACAAACCTCACGCACCTTAAGTTTCAACAACTATTGACATTAATCACTAACCCCACGCACCTTAAGCACAAACCACATGCACCTTAAGCACAAACCACACGCATATTAACCACAAAACTCACGCACATTAAGTCCAAACCCAAACACCTTAAATTTACCT